GTACCAGGGCCGTAGCTAGCCCCATGTTTCAGAGGGGGCTAAACAAAATCTTGGGCGGGCTTCATTTTTACTTTCCTATCTGTATATAGATATAAGGAAAGTATAAGAATCATGATTTTTTTTTATTAGAGTATAAAAATTCCAAAAAACATGAGGAGTTTTGTTTTGAATTCCTTCCTCCGAGGAGGGTATTAAAAAACGAGCAATTACAAAACACATATTTATTCAATGAACTCTACAACAAAAAAATATAAAACGTATTTTCCTATGAACATTTAACTGGTTGAGTTAGTAAAAGCGGCATCAAATATGCAAAAGAGTTTAAAAAAAATTTCATAATAATTGCAGTTTCCTATTTTTTAAATTATCAACCAGTAGATTTTTAATATTTATTTGTTCTCTTTTTCAAATGCTAAATGGGTAAGGTTTGCCAGTCTCGGATGTAACATTGACCTCCGCTGAGGTGGCTGAGGTCTATCAATTCTAGTAAGGGCAGAAAAACTGGATTCACAAAGAGCCGTACTACAGGCGAAAGTACGCCAAGTCGCTAGAAATTCAAAGTTTCTTTAAAAGCAGTGTTTTGCCTAAAAATACACTGAAAAATATCGGGATTCTCTGCAGCATTCTCGTTTTTCTGTTGATTTATATATTTCTTGACGACTTCTACTTCCGCAGCACTTGTTAATTGAATGCCCAGTTCGGCCAGTGGTTGATATTTTCAATATCTACTTTTTTTCTTGACATAATAGCTTAAAATTAAATCATTGTTTTCGTTAAATCTACGTCTTAGCTCTACTAATATTATGTCAAGAACTTCAAAAAATATTTATTTGAAATCTGCTTCGCTAACGACTGTAGATCTCATAGGCTAGGTAAGTACAAAATTTTATAACACTTTGCTGGGTTTTCTTTTTCTTGGGGGTGATGGGTCTTCTGAATCAATAATTGAAAATTGTACGTTCATTATATTAACGAGCCGGTGGTACTCATCATTATTTCGCTTTTCTTCAAGCTATTTTCATCATGTCAGTCAGTGTGGCCTGCCTGCTTTGTAGAATTTTGTCCGTGCGTGTACTGCTTGCTATCTATCAGTAAGCAGTTTTAAGTTTCAACAAAATATCTTGGTTTGACACTACAGGGAAAATAGGGGAATTACCGAAATAAAATTAATGGTTATCCGTTTTCCGATTTCCAGTTGCAATTTATTGTCTGTGGGTTTGTGTTTATTATGTTTTGATTAAAATGGACAGTAAGCAATAAGTAACTGTTAGTAAAGTATTTTCTTGTAAGAGAATATAAGTGACTTTTTTTTTCCTGGGCTCGTCTATGTATCTCCGAATAACACTGAAGCCTATTGGCTTATTGTGTTTTACCCCATGTTAGTTCATAGCACCCACTCTATCACCTTTGTACCTTGTACAAGTTTGTACAGATCCTTGGGTGAGTGGGTTCTATACGTTGTTGGATCAACCTGGGGTTGTCCAAAAAGAGCCTGTCTTTTGCGATCTAGAGCTTCGCATTCGCACAGTATGTGTTTGGCCGTTTCTGGTTTCTTGTGACATAGTCGGCACATGAGTTCCCCATTGTACATGCCAATTTTGTTCAAGTGTCCCTTTACTGGGGCGTGCCCAGTCATGAACCCTGTTATCACTTTCAAATGGTTCCTATTCATTAAGAGTAGTTCTCCAGTTCTTTTGAGACATGGTCTGCCTATGAAGGCTTTTCCATGTGCCTGTTTTGGGGTGCTTCCCCAATAGTTGATATGTTGTTCCCGAATCCAGTCATTTATAAAACCCCGGACTGTACTTTTTGGTACTCGTGGGTTTGTGTCTGGTTCCGGTGTTTCTTCTGACCCTCTTTTTGCAAGTTCGTCAGCCTTTTCGTTGCCTTCGATCCCTTTGTGACCTGGCACCCAAAATAGTTTTACTCTATTTTGGTCTGCCAGTGTTCTTAGTTCTTCGATGCATTCCCATACCAGCCTCGACGTACTTTCTGACTCGATATGGCCTTAAGTGCCGCTTGGCTGTCTGACATTATTTGAATATGCTGATTTTCGACAGCTCTTTCATTGTTCGTTTTTGCACATTGCAAAATTGCGTATACCTCGGCCTGAAATACCGAGGAATGTATTCCTATAGCATAGCTATGGTTAGATTCAGGGTTTTTGGAGAATACTCCTGCCCCAGTGCCTTCCGCAATCTTAGACCCGTCTGTATACCAGGTTTGTTCCTGTCGTTGGGCATTGGGCTCCCTTATGGTGATCTCCGCTCTTTCCTGTATTAAAACCTCAAAGGGAGTATTAAAAGAGTACCTCTTGGTTATGTGGTCTGATCTGATGTCTAGCACGTCTCCTGTCACTAACCTTGAGATACTCATGTGACCTGGCCTAATGTCAAGATTTCCCAGTGTATTCCCTAATCTGTAAGCACCTAATCTTGCCTCCCCTTGTATCACATAGTGAAGAGGTGGGAGTCCTATTAGTGCTTCCATTGCAGCAGTGGGGGTTGTTTTCATATAAGTGACTTAGAACCATTACTAAAAATATATTGATATAACGGTTCTACTATAAAATTTTTATAGTAAGTAAATTTTTTCCCAATTCACATTTTCCAAAAAAAATCAATACAATTTTAAAAATCGTCGATGCGACTCATTGTTCATTGTTTGTATTTTTCAACAGCCGTTAAACGCGCTCCTATATATTGTTACGTTATAAAATAGTTAATAAATATCTAAATAAATAAATTTAATGACGCCCAGTATATTATAAAATCCATCTAACAAAATATTTTAATTATGAGCAGTTTATTATTATCTAAACAATTGGTCAATATTGAAAACACCGTGCGGAATGCGAAAAAAAAAAAAGAAGAGATACGGGGTCATGCAGGCTTGAGGCGTCGGCCTAGGGGTTAAGTTAAATTAGATAAAAAGTTAGGTTGTGTCTAATCAGTGAACAAAGGGTGCCCTCAAAAGAATGTGAGTAGATTATTGTTCTTATTTTATTATATCTATATTTTTGATAGTGGAAAATATAATTGGTTTTTTGTAAGTGTACTTATTTTTCTGTGTTCTTCTCCAACCCTTTCTGGTAGTTAGTGGCTACGCTGACGGGGTTAATAGCACACCCCGTAGCAATATGAGCAATTTTCTAGGGGGGGCGCAGAGAAGCTTTAGGGGGGCTCAGCCCCCCTGGCGCCCCCCTCGCTACGGGCCTGTCAAGTACTCTAGCAAAATTTTATGTTCAGATGGGTCAGGGGGCCGAAGACATAATTTTATAGTCTATTAGGTGTATGTTCTTTATTTTTTAAATAAAATGGACAGCGTCGATTAAAATTTACTAATTATATCTATTTTTGTAATTGTCATTATGACAAATAAATACCTATAATAATAATTCCTAATTTATATTTTTATTCGAACAGATGGTTAGTTTTATAAATTAAAATGCAAATTAAAATGTACAATAAATACATTCTATTAAAACATTAAGTTATACAGGGTCTTTACAAAAACATACCACATATTCCTTAGACCAAAATAAGTCGATTTAAGTAAAATTACCTTAGTACAAAGTTGCTTCGTTTGGGCTCCAGAGGGCCTTGAATTTACAATTTTTAAATCGTTTTTCCCATATAAATTTAAAACGGCATATGCGATTTTGCTGAAATTTGGTATATGGTAGAGTTTTATGTGGCAAAAAAAACGGCACTAATATTTTGTCCGATAATAATACATAGGCGTAGAACTTGATTTTTTAAATAATTGCACCTTAAAAAATTCTACGCCAATGGAAGAAAAGGAGTTTGAGTATGAAATTTAGATTGCGCAACTCATTTACTTTAAAAACGGTACTGTTTTGTTATTAATAAATTAGTTTTGATTATTCCACTTTTTAATCATTTAATGCAGGTAGTAACTACAAAATAACAATAAATCCAGTTCGCATTTATGACACTGATCTGCATTATTTTACCTAAAAAACGTTCCGAAAAATTGGCCGATTTGGGCAAATAATCTTAGATAATATAATAGCAGATAGGCCACCACTGCATAAAGTTATACAATAGGTCTTTTCCTTTGCATCGACAGTGTAGCACTAGCTACGTCACTTCTGAAAATATTGTTCCATCCATACAATTTGTATAAATGGAACGATATTTTCAGAAGTGGTGTAGCTCAGTGCTACACTTTCGATGCAAAGGAAAAGACCTAATATTAATCTCGCTATCTTAGATAATATAATAGCAGATAGGCCACCACTGCATAAAGTTATACAATATTAATGTCGCTATCATATAATCAGTATCTCTCTTTCTAATGAAGGCTTTCTCACTCGTTTTAGAATTCTCAGCAGTAGCGTATCGTAAAACAATTTCGCTGGGTCATTTTAAATGCGAAAATGTTGACCAAGTAGAATATAAAATAAAATGTTTTAAAA